CTAATGCAGCTTTCTTTCAGGCAACTAGATAAAAGTAGGAGCATGACAAACTTAAACAATGACATTGGCCCTAAAGAGCTGTTATCTAAAACCTGAACATCGATTTCTAACGATGGCGCTGTTCATTTTCACTGATCCAAGGTTTATATGCATTAATGCAAATTGGGTTTCAGCTCTTAAAAACAGAAAGCAATCCAAAAGGTGAACTTCTTAAAATCTCACCTGGGAGGCAGTGCCTTCTTGTTCCTTGGTGGCTGGCAGAAACATTTTGCCCATCAAGTGAGCCCCTTTTCAAAGTGAGCTCAGCAGAAACTCCAATATCTTGTGTCTCTTGTAGGAGTAAACAGCGAGGGAGCTTAGGAAAAGGCCGCTGACGCCGCTGCACTGCCCGGGGTAGTGGCACCGGGCTCTGTGTATACATGTGACTTCCCTTGCACATACATACACATAATCCTTTAAGCTTCAGCTGCATGCTTGTATTGGCGCAAAGGGCCGTTGCAAAAGCAGGGGGCCTGATCCTGCCATAAGGACTCTTCTGCAGACCGTGTTCATAACGGTGAAAGGGGCTTTCAGGGGTGTTTTTTTGGAAAGGACAAACTGAAAGGACATTACTGTGGTCTGAGAACAGTTCAGCCTTCGGTGTAGGTACGAAACGGGAGACAAATAGCGGCTGCATTGAACTGGGGGAGCTGCTTGGTGCAAGAAGATTTTACCTTAGGAGTAGCTATTCTGTGAAGCTGTGCATTTTAATAATAATAAATCCAGAGCAAGATAAGCCAAACTGGCAAAAATAATATGTTAGTAACATTTTATTTTCTTTAGAGGGACTCATCACAGCTGTGTTTGTCGGGAGTCATATCCCTTCCCAGCTTCGCAAAACAATGCTATTTAGCAAAAGCCTGTAACATCCACTTGGCCTCTGGAGAGTTTAGACAGTAACCAGCATTAGACCTGAATAAGAGCCAGTGTACGCTTTAGAAAATACTTTACTATAAACCTCAGAATTATTTTAAGCATTCAAAAAGAACATTTTAATTAAAAGAAAGAAACCCCAAACATGCAGGGAAAATGCTGCTTTATCATCTGGCTTTAATGAGATGGTAGGGAAATGTAAATTCTTTCCATTTGAATAAAAAGCATGTAATATCACGATTCTGCCTACTTAGCTTGAATACAAATAGTCCTTAAATAATTTGCCATTTAAAACCGTAATGAAGAATTAATTTATATGTTTTCTTTCCTCCCCAAAGCAGTAAAGTGTAATATCTCCTTTCACTTATCAACCAGAAAGGAGCTGATCCCTAAAATTAACAAAGAATTTGTCGTTCATGTTAGGCATGTGTGTAGCATTGTATTTACTCTATGCAATACACGTGTGTTTTCTTACTTTATACTTTTAGTTGCTTAATTTTATTCCTGTAGTGTCTTGTTAGCTATCACATCAGAATAGGGCTCTAAGAGAGACTCTAAGGTTAACACCTGAGAACTTTGCTTGTCAGTATTTACGATCTGAGTATTTGCCTACATCAGTTATTTTTTTGTTCCTTTTGGCTAAGCTGCTATTGTTTATATCAAAGTAAAATAACCCCAAGTCTCTATTTACAATCCGTATAAGATAGCGGCTCTGTTTGTAGGTCCCACGTTAATATTTTCCATTGAATGCTCTATTGTTGGAGATCGGTCAAATTGTTAAATAAACAAGCCCTTCTGTAATCTCAGAAGTAACATTTCTATGAGGAGACAATGTGGGGCAGGCCAGGATTATGCTTTTTCCTTTTTTAATGGTTTGTAGTATTTCATGCTTTATCACTCATTTGGTTAAGCCGGTATATGTGGTTTGTGTTTCGAAATGCCGAGCAAAGCCCTCAAATGCTGTTGATTTACATTTGATAAAATACCAGTGACAGTTGAGCATAGAGTTTAAGGTGAAGTGTGCTTTCCTTCTGAAATTCAGGCCTCATAAACTTTTTGCAGGAGAAAATGCAGAGACTGGGAGACGGAATTGTACTCCTTTGGTCTCCAGGGAGAGTGGAAGGTAATAACGTGGCTCCTTCAAGTCTGCTGCTCTCTTGGTTTTATAGAGGTGACTGCTCACTCCTATAGGAGTGTATTCAGTTTGCAGTTATATTATCCTGGTTGGGGTTCTCTCATATGCTTTCCCTGAGGCTTGTTTGTAAAGATACATAATCCCCTACACAGTTATGCTTGTCCCTGATCGTCTGGGGTAACTTGGGGTAGTTGTGAGGCAGAGGAGACTGTCATGCTTTGACCAGAAGGCCCAAATCTCAACAATATCTGCACTTGTAGAACTTGCGCAGGTATTTCTTGTGGCAGAAGACCCACAGCAGTTTTTGCTGACACTCAAGTCCTGGACACACGGCTGCAAGGGGATGGAGTGAAATGGTGAGCAAGGATGTTTGAGGTTTACTTTAGTGACTTAATTTTTAACTCTGCCTTATTGCAAAGTAAGCAAGTGCCAGCCTCAGTGAAGGCGGAGCCTTTTCTGTGACCTGCCAGGGAAAATTAGCCCATGCTTAAACCACCTTTAAACACAAGCTAGATAACTTTTGTGTGCACCTGGTATAAGTTCAGCTGGACAGGAGTCCAGTCTGAGTGTGCAACACACACATAACCTCATGCATTGCCACTAAGCAGCAGGGATCACAGAGCCTTGAGGTCTCCTTTTCAGATTCAGTACACTGTTGCTATTGGCTTGATACTCTGAATTAAATATGCCAGTTGCCTGTCCATCCTCCTCCAAATACAGTTCTCATTACTGATGGTTCTGTGAATTCAATGCACAGTCCTAAAGTTCATAATTGCGAGTAACTCTGTTAATATGAAAGTTGCATTTGAGCAGCGCAGGTTTGCGTTTAAAGAACATTTGGTAGTGGTTCAGGTGATGAAGTTACCCTGGATTTGAGATGCTGATGTTTCTGACATGCTGCCGTGTTTGATTGATAGACAATTCAAACTACCAGAATTGATAGACAATTGATAGACAATTCTGGTGGGATTTTTTACTTGCATAAGCTAGATAAGAGAAAACCTGAGAAGTTCTGTTCAATTTTCTTTGGCAATATAGTGACTTTCAGAAGTTCATCTTTTAGCTGTGCTCTCTGCGGTAACTTAGGTAGATTTAGTGATTCAGATGGATTAAAGAAATCACAAGGTTAAAGTCAAAGTAGTTATTTGGGACTGTGGTTGCCAGAATATTATTTTTATGAGCTAAAGTGGTTTTGTTGAAGCATCACTGTGGCATTAGTGAATTAGTGGGTGTACTTTTGGGCCCTTCATGCCCATGTGTAAATTGTTTATAAAGAATAGTTATTCGTGTAAAAGAGTTGTTCATCTAAAAGGTTTATCACAAATATTCCTCAATATGCTTTATCTGAAGCTGAATTAATGGTACCTGCAAAGAAACGCAGACTTCGTGGTACATGTTAAAGGGACTGTGATGTGGTCAGGCATCTCCTCATTGCATGGGATGTGGTCAGCCCTCACTGAGAGTTCTTATTTTTCAGTACTGTAGGTGTACACTAGCATAGATGTAAGATGAATGGGGTCACTTGGAATATTGTGTGCAGTTCTGGTGTCCTCAACATAAAAAGGACATGGAACTGTTGGAACAAGTCCAGAGGAGGCCACGAGGATGATCAGGGGACTGGAGCACCTCCCGTATGAAGATAGGCTGAGGAATTTGGGGCTGTTCAGCCTGGAGAAGAGAAGGCTGCGTGGAGACCTCATAGCAGCCTTGCAGTATCTGAAGGGGGGCTATAAGGATGCTGTGGAGGGACTCTTCGTTAGGGACTGTAGTGACAGGACAAGGGGTAACGGGTTAAAACTTAAACAGGGGATGTTTAGACTGGATATAAGGAGGAAGTTCTTTACTGTGAGGGTGGTGAGGCACTGCAATGGGTTGCCCAAGTAAGTTGTGAATGCTCCATCCCTGGTGGTGTTCAAGGCCAGGCTGGACAGAGCCTTGAGTGATATGGTTTAGTGTGAGGTGTCCCTGCCCATGGCAGGGGGGTTGGAACTGAATGATCTTAAGTTCCTTTCCAACCCTAACTATTCTATGATTCTATGACTGTTTAGCTGTGGTTTATCTTAGTGTGAGTATTCAGCAAGTTCATATTTGGTCATAACGTGTCTGAAAATGTTTTGGTAATTACTTTAACTTTAACTTGAATGTGCAAATCAGCTGAAGTAAGCACAACTTACTTGCAAATTTTAGCTTAGTTGCTTAAGAACTTCCTTTTATATGAGCACAACTTTTATACCCTTTTATTTTTTTTAATCTGCTACAATATTTCAGGTTCTAAGAACTTTGATGGAAAACTTTATTAAGGCGACCATAATTGTGCCAGTGCTGCAACCCAATTAATCATGCATTCGTTCTTCAGAACCAGTGTCTCTGTTTGAGAAATTCAACCAGCTTTTCCCTAAGGGCTGCTCGTAATCGAGTTCTGGTGAAACTTGCTGCAGTAGCTGAATCTCTGGGTTCCCGATAGGATGGCACAGACTCCCTTTTGGTGAGCATGAGGGTACGGGATGTGTGTGTCTGCACCTTCCTGGCTTGGTTTCAAAAATGGACTGTGAAGGTGTAGCCTTTGAAGGGGTATCATGGGTGTGTGAATGTTATTTTCCCATGTCAGCTCTATCATTACAAGAGCCTCCAGCAAAGAGAGAGTCAGTGGCAAAGAGGTTGGAAGAGCGATAGCACCTGGGCCCATTGCAGGTCCTTCCTCTGCTGGCTTGACTCAGGATCCTTATGTGGTTTTAGGGAAAATCTCTCAGAGCTGCTAAACCAGCTACTTCAGAGAAGCTTTCCAAAAGGTTTTAGAGCTTGTGATTCATTTCTGTAGCATTTATTTTGAAAAGACCATAATTCTGTTAAAAAAAACATGAATTACACTAAAAACATAGCAAAAAACCTGATAGCTGCATACAAATGGGAGTGATAATGGGCAAGGCGGGAATATTTGCGTCTTTTCTAGTCAGCAGGCTTTTAAACTTGGTCTTCTTTATGTTTGGCCTCTAATTTGGATGGTCGAACTGCTGAAATTCACTGTTACATCATTGTTTGTGTGGATGTATTAGAGACATATTCCGGTGCATCTGTGTGCATCTTTTGTCTCTGCATACTTTGGATAATTGTATTAGCTATTGTTTGAAAATGTCATTAGACATTAAATCAGTTTATTTAGCTATTGTGGGCTAATCCAAACATACATGATATAACACCCTGCTCCTGACCTTTTCCTGTTAGCAGGCTTTCAGCAGCTCTTTCCTGAGCTCTCTTGGACCTCAGGTGGTGGGCATGGAGGAAGAGCTTTAACCCTCTGGGTGTATTCTGTGAAGGCTACAGGGCAGGCTAAAGGCACTACAGCTCACTTTGCAGCACAGGAGAAACAGGAGAGGAGATGTATAAGAAGGGAGTAAGTCCAGGGCTTTACTATCTTTCTTAATAAATGCTTGACTGCATTCTCCTCACCCTTTAAAAAAAGATGTAAAGCATCAAGTTTGCATGCTGGCAGGCTAGCAGGATTTCATAGCCAGGTGACCATGGCAAGCTCCTAGCTTCTAAAATCCGCTTGATTGAACTTTGCATGTTGAAGAATCCAGATTTTGGTGAAAATTATTGCACAAAAAGCTTATAAGATGAGGTTGCATGGTTTAAGAACTATTTCTTTTAAAGCATATGCAGAATGGAGATGGAGTTAAAACATCATTTCCTCTAGCTGTCCATTTTACTTTTGATCTATGCTCATTTAAAATGAAATCTCTACCCCAAGAGATATTCCGATAACATAAATCTGTTGTATTTGTTATTAATAGCTAATTTTAAAGGGAAAGAAAAACAGGAAGAATGCAAGAAAAATGTTGATCTCAATGAATAAAAATCGCACTCTTTGTACTATGAGAAAATGAGATAATTATGGCTATAAAATCCTGTGCTCAAAGAATGAAAATAAACAATGCACACGCTATGTGGGAATGAGAGAGAGCCATTCCATTAGGACAGATCCACTGACATCTTTTCTCTGTAGTAATTCTTAATAATGTGGGGATTTTTTTTCGTTAAGGGCTAAAACTGTCCTGGAGAGTGTTCCTGGAGTTTGGCAGCAGCGCAAGAGGATGGTTTACAAACATTCAACACCAGGAAAATATTTGGGAACCAGTAATGGGGTGTTTGGCTGCTGCTGTTATGAGCAGCATTAGATGCACTTTTTGTTGCATTACAGGCATTTGGCAGGTCAGTGGTCCATTTGTCTGTTAACAGATGTCATAGAATCATAGAATAGTTACTAGGGTCCACTAACCAGCCCACTTTGCAGTCATTCCATATTTAATTTTAGGCTTACTCATATTTTTTGGGGGTGGGGAAAAAGTGTTTTAAAAACCCCTGTCAGAACAAAGGGTTAAACCCTCAGTTAAATACAGCACAGGAATACTGCAGTGGAGTTAGAGCCATTGTGGCGTTTGACTCTAGATTTTAGAACGAATCCATAGCTAAATGGTTTTCTTAGGTTGTTCAGGTGTTACTCAAACCATATCAGATCAGTCTGTAAGATTCAGCATTCAAATCAGATCAGTCTGTAACCTTCAGCATTTTCTCCAGTGTCTGAAATCTTACTACAAAGAGTACCTGCGTCTTGTCTGACACCAAGTAGAAATAAAAGGCTGAAGTAACACCACCACTAACTTGCTTTAATAAATTGTATGTTTCTGTACTGAAGCTTGAAGGCTGGAAGGTTATTGCTGTAAAGACTACCTACAAACCCAATGAATGAGCAGGGTGCCACTTCAAAGAGAAACACCCAGAGGAGCAACAGAAGGGAAGCTGCTTTGGAGTTCCCCTCAGTTCCTTTCGGCAGCCCAGGGCTTGCAAAGGAAAACAACCTAGAAATGGTGATTTTCTTTTGTGTTAGTTACATAACCAGCTCCCAGCAAATAAAACTGGAGGTGGAGCAGCTATACAAAGATCCATTTAATAACCTGTGCCTCCCATTGCTGCTGACAGAATCTTACCTGACTTTATTAGTTTCTCCTTCCTGGCTAAGGGAGATTCCTCTCGCTGTCTCCAGACAAAAGCCTGGTGAAATCCAGGAACTGGTTGTAGCTCTCAGTTGCACTGTGTGTATTTTGAGACTTAAGCTTTGCAGTTACTCCAGATTTAGTCCTTACAGCTGAAGCAGTCAAACATAAATGGTTTCTACCATTTATAACTTTACAGATTTCTGTGTGTGAAGTACTGCTGTATTTGATACTAAAGAATTAGAAACAAGTATCTGAAAATGGAAACTATTTTTTTACAAGTGCTCTGTCTTTCCTTTAGGGTCAGTTGAAGCTCCAGGAATTGTGCTTTCATGCTGATCAACCTATGCTGTTTTTCAGCTTTGCAGTCATGCTGTAGCATCCATTAACCAGCATCCAAGATGCAGGCTGGTACTTTGTTGCAGGAGGTGACAGCTCCAGCTATTCAATATCCTTTGCTTTGGCAGTTGTGCTCTTTGCCTCCCTGTCCATGTTAGCCATCCTCCCAGCTATACACCATACATTGACACAGTCAGCTGGATGGTTGGTGTTGCTGTCTTGTCTCCCTCATTTTTTCTTCCCAAAGCTCTACTAATGGCCTTGTCTTGGCTTTGGGACTTCAGTTGTGATTTACTAGTTTGAAATTCTGGAATTACATGTGTGCTCTTTCATTGTCTTCAAGTGTCAGCTCTAACACCACTGCGGAGATGTTATAGTGTCATCATCTAAAGGATGATTTAGGAGACCAGTTTAAGGGTAGCTATTACTAATGATACAATAGGTAAAAAGGATCAAGAGAATTTATGCATTTGGCAGTTCTTTCTAACCAGTTTTACACTTACTTTCTGTAAAATTAGACCTGGAAAGAGGGGACTTGAAATAAATACGAAATTCTGAAATGTCACCTGTGCCCAGCTTCTGCAAACTTTATTATCATTACCTCTGTAAGAATTAAAAGTCAGTTCATGTAGTCCAGAGCAGCAAATGCTGTCAGACAGTGTGTAATGGAAATCCATAAAGGCCAGTATTTAACATCTTGAAATGAGAAGCATCCAGGCTAATTTTTGAAATCACTTAATTTGAATCTGGTGTATGTTACAGCAAAATATGAAGGTAAATATTAAGGCATTTTCATCAGGTGGCTTTAAATTAATCTTTGGATTTACTTTAAAAGAAAATGAAGAACCTTTGAGTAATGGAGCACCAGAGTGCTCTTCATCTTGCTGTAACTCTAAAGTATGACACTGGGACAAAAAACACTTAGAAATAATTGCATTTCCATATTTAAAGCTTTCATTATTTGAGTCCAAAATGCTTTAAAATTATCTGGTTTAGGCCTTGATACCGAAAATTAACTTTGGATAGTAAGATGCATATACAGCAGCAGAGCAAAACCCCACTGAAGTTGATAGGTTTGAGTGGCCTGGAGTTCTGCCTCATAGGGCTGTTTGCAGTGCTTTTGTTTAACTGCAAAGTGTTTTAGAATGTTTTTTCCAACTGAATATATGATGTTACACTTACGACAGATGAGTAGTACCAAACTTCAAACCATCCGACAGAGTAGCCTTCCTTCACTTTGTTTAGGAAGATCTCTTTGATTCTGTTTGTACTTAAAGTGCGTTGCTGGATAATCATGGAACATGTGTCTGTTCAAACCAAATTCAAAGAGTATCATGAGCTGACACCTGCTTAAGTCTTTAATTAAAAGTGGCTTAATCTCTAGCAATCTCTACATACATAAGCACAAAGTGGCTGTGTTTAATGTGTACTTTGAACTGCCATTAATTTAGAAATCAAAGATTTGTAAATGAAACACAATATGCTAGACATGATGATGTTTGACTGGAATCCCTTCTTGTTGGCATAGCCTAGTTTTCCTGCTGCCGTCAGCCACTGGAAATACACCCTTATTAAAAATCATGTGGAGAGGGAAAATACAAAAAGAAGGCTGTCTTAAAAAATGTGTGTGCATCGACTATATATAAACCATATTTAAAAGAGGCAAATATATACAGTGGGACATATAATGGAGAATTGCTCCTCCTTGGAAAGATCAGTGGAGGGAATACCGTTTGCATTTCCAGACATATGTATGCTATAGAAGGAGAGATGTTTTCTGTATTTTTCCCAACTGTGTGAATTTTGCTGAGATAATGTCTTAAAGACTGATCTTAGTTCAGTTAATGTTCATGAATGTTAGTTAGTATTCTCTTTTACAAATCTCTCAGCTTTCCTCCTCCGAGAGACCACGTTAATGTTGAAACAAAGGTATAGAGGAGAGATGAATGATGACAGGGGCCCCTGGCATGGCTGTGGTTGGGAAGGTGGCACACATACCAAGCCAGCAGGGTGGAATGGGAGGATTACAAGGGAGTCCTTAGTACATGTAGTGAGCATGGCTTGCACAAGCTGGGGAGCGTGTAACCTGTTTGACATGCTCATCTCGCCTATCTTGAATTATGGCAGTGTCTGTGCTATGTGTGTGTTGAGTTAAATTACTAGCAAAGATGTGTGGAAATGCATCTGGAAAGTTGAACATTCCTGAAAAACATTTCAGAGCTGATGTTTGAGAGTGCAGCATTAAAGGCATTTACTTTTGACCTCCTGCAGAGCTCACCAAAAGTAGTTTTGGGTAAGACAAGACTGCACGAAGAACTTTGGCTTGATTTAAATGTGGGTAGTTGTGCTTTTAGGATGGAGACTTAAGTTCTGAAAAGTTACGTGTTTGTTTGGGTTTTGGTTTGGTTTGGTTTTTTTAAGAGACTTTATTTTTCCTTATGGTTTGTTTATAATGCTGGATTTAAAATATTTGGGGTATTGTTTGGGTCACTGTTACCAACTGTTCATAAGTACATTCATATTTGTATACCATGATACAAAGAATCCCGTGTGATGATCGATGGGTCATGGCACTTCACCCTTAGACTGAGTGTCTCTACAAGCTGCATTCAGGGAGAGACAGAGGAGGCAATTAAAGAAGTCTTTTAATTGTGGCACAGTTATTAGACTATGACGTTTACTGATGGCTGTTGTCATTGCATGGCCAAAACCCAGTAAGGTAAATCTTTATTTCCCTCTTTTCTCCCATCAAAACTTTGCTTCAGAATGCTGTAACCACCAGTGGAAGATTTCTATGATTTCAATTAAGAAATTGGGAGTCTGAGGTTAAATGCTATCCACTGCTGGTTTTCTATGATTATTTAAAAAAATTACTGGACCACAGTGTTAGCAAACCAATGTGCCTGGAATCATAACAGGGAGCAAGAAAAGCCGACAGTCTGAGTAAATTCCAGATACATTCTGTGTCTGGTATTTAAAATCTCAACTATTTTCTACTGGACTGAATCAATCATGGAATAGTTCCGGTTGGAAGGGACCTTAGGAGGTCTTCTCTACAAAT